AGAATCAAAAGAAGACAAAACAGAAACGACAAAAGCAAATAAAATGAAATAAAACACAAAACAAAACAAAACAAAACAAAGCACAGCAAATAAAAAGAAACAAATAACAAAACAAAACAAAACAAATAAAGAGAAATAAATGACAAAACAAGAAAACAAACAAACGGAATAAATAACAAAACAAAGCAAAAAAAGGAAATTAACAGACAAAACAAACAAAAGAAATAAAAGAAATAAATAAACAAAACAAAAAAACAAACAAAAGAAACAGATAAACAAAAAAATCAAATAAAGAAACACACAAACAAAACAAACAAAAGAAATAAATACACAAAACAAAACAAATAAAAGAAATAAATAGACAGAACAAAACAAACAAAAGAAATAAATAAACAAAATAAACAAAAGAAATAAACGAGATAATTACACAAAAGAAACCAAATAAAAGAATAAATAAACAAAAAAGCAAATAAAAGAAATAAATAACAAAAACAAAAAACAAAAAAAAGAAATAATAAAAAACGGACTTGTTGGCCAAAAGGGAAAAAGGAAAAACAAAAGCAGCTCTTGCCAAAGAAGTAAAAACAAATCCGAAAAACGCAAAGGACAAACTCCACGAACGCTGTCCTGTACGTACACCCCACACCCACGAAGTGCTGCTGCTGCTGCTGCTGCTGCTGCTGCTGCTGCTGTGCTGCTGCTATTGCTGCTGCTGCTGTGCTGCTGCTGCTGCTGCTGCTGCTGCTGCTATGCTGCTGCTATTGCTGCTGCTGCTGCTGTGCTGCTGCTGCTGTGAATTAAGAGAGTCGAGGGAGAGGGCGAGGGGAGATTAAAGGAGGAGACGAAAAGGAGAAAAAAAGGGACATAAAGAGAAAAAAGAGACAAAAAGGAGACCAAAAAGAATCAAAAAAAGACAAAAGAAAGGCGAAAAAGAAGGGGAAAACAAGGAGACAAAAAGGAGACAAATGGGAGAGAAAAAAGAGACAAAAAGGAGAGAAAAAAGAGACAAAAAGGAGACAAAAAGAGACAAAAGAAGCCATGATCCATCAAAAAAGCCGAAAAAGCGCCCCAAATCAGCCCAAAAAGAGCCCCAAATCAGCCCAAAAAGAGCCAAAAAAGAGCGAAAAGAAAGCGAACCAAATGGAACTAGAAAGAAAACAAAAAGGAAACAAAAAAGAGACAAAAAGGAGACAAAAAGGAGCGAAAAAGGGCCGAAAAGAAGAGAAATCGGACCGAATCCGAGGACCGCGACGACGCCCAAGTAGGCGAAGGCGCATTTGTCGCAGAGCAAGGCGATGGTCTGCACGAAGAGGCGAATGGAGAGGCGCGACTGCAGCGACAAGTTGTGGCTGAGCAGCAGCAGCAGCAGCAGCAGCAGCAGCAGCAGCGGCAAATGAGGCCAGCAGCAGGCTCGACACGAAGGCCTCAAACAGAACCAAAAATAACTCAAAAAGAAGTCAAAAAGAACGCAAAAAGAATTCAAAATGAGCTCAAAAAGAGTTCGAAAAGAGTTCAAAAAGAGTTCAAAAAGAGTTCAAAAAGAATTCAATAAATGGACAAAATTTAAAGATAATTTAAAAAACGGAATAAATTGAACATGGAAAAATTGCTTTTTGTGGGTTGAAGTGGCACTGCGGGAAAAGGCAAAGAGCCAAAACGGCAAATTGAAAAGTCGGAAAAAAGGAAAAGATGGAAATAAAGAAATAAAGAATTAAATGGCAATTAAAAAGGAATTAAAAAGGAATTAAAAAGGAATTAAAAAGGAATTAAAAAGGAATCAAAAAGGAATTGAAAAGGAATTAAAAAGGAATTAAAAAGGAATTAAAAAGGATTTAAAAAAGAAAAAAGAATTTAAAGGAGAAAAAAAGAAGAGATTTACGTGTTGAAGTGACACACGGCCCCGCATGCAAAGCAGAAAGTGTAAAAAACAGCGAAAACGAGGCATCAGAAAGTCCGGAAAAAGAGAAAAAAGAATAAAAAGAAATCAAGAACAAAAAAGGAATTAAGAAATGATTTAAAACACAAAAAAAGGAGGAAAAAAAGGCAAAAAGAAGAGATCTACGTGTTGAAATGGCACAACATGGCCCCGCATGCAAATAGGGAAACTAGAAAATGGCGAAAAAGAGGCATCAGAAAGTCGGAAAAAGAGAAAAAGAATAATAAAAAAAATGAAGAATTATAAAGCAATTAAAAGTGATCTAAAAATGATTTAAAAATGAATTAAAAGAAGAAAAAAGGAGAAAAAAGAGGCAAAAAGAAGAGATTTACGTGTTGAAATGGCATAACATGGCCCCGCATGCAAAGAGCGAAACGACTCCGCTGAGGGCCAAAACTTCGGCAGCCCCAAAAGCCATATAAGCCGTCAGCAGCGTAACAGCAACTTCGTACTGAGGCAGCCTGCAGCAGCAGCAGCAGCAGCAGCAGCAGCAGCAGCAGCAGCAGCAGCAGCAGCAGCAGCAGCAGCAGGGGAGGCAGTGGGTGGGGGGGGGGGGCGGGCAGG